GCGCCGACGTTGCAGGCAATACGATATCTATGTTGTATTAGATTAGAAATTCCGATTATTATATTAAATTAGTAAAATAATAAATAACAAACCTTCTGCTTACCTTAAAACTCCGTTTATAACCCATAAACACCAAAGAACTGCTATTAACAATATAATGATCCAATTTCGTATTATTTTCAGGATTATCCAAGAATTCTTCATATAAACTATGTTTGACGTTAGGTTTTTTTTTATTTGTGTGGCAACAATATGAAAGCTTTGCACATGATATATGTAAAAATGCGGCACTTTAAGTCATTAGTTAAAAAAAGTTGGTATTTTAAGGTTGTTACTATTATGCTTTTACTCACACTATTCACACTAATTATTTATTTATTCGATTGATTTGTTAAGAAATAACTGGAACTGAATTTTTTTTTTTTTTTTTTTGTTGACATGTTCGTTATTATCATTGTTTTTTATTGGCCTATTGAATGACTTTTTAGCCCTCCACAAGTATGTATGGATTATCTATATGAAGTTTAAAGATTTTCATCATTACTAAATCTTAAATCTTTTTGTTTATCGTGGGAATGTAACTATAAGTCTAATAATATGGATAAATCAGTCAACAATGATAAAATATACGGTATTTATTTATTGATTTCATCTTATAACTCCCTGCGTTCCTCACTTGTCTTCGATAACTTTAAGTGGTGTATTCTTGCGTTTATTCCGTTACCGCAAATCTGTTTTCAAAACTTGAGATTCCCTAGTCAGTCGAGTTGATTTACATCATAATTTTATATACAGAATATGAATGAAAAAACAAGTATCACCCTTTTCGGACTCACTGGGCATGGAAAGTCCTCTATTGCTAATATGCTGATTAAAGGTGACATTAAAAAAAATAATTCGTTTAACATTAATAACACTGTGAAGGGTGCTAGTGTTCAAATACAAGGTTACCAAAATGACAACTTATAGTTTATGACACGGTTGGAGTAGGTGAACCAAGTACTGGAACTGTTCCGTATAAGGAAGCTGTCAAAAAAATAAGAAATTATTTTTCTAAATGTGAGACGTCACTCAACTATATAGCTTTCGTTAAAAAGAAAGGTAGATTTACTGAAGAAGATCGTAAAATGTTTAATTTATTTAAAGAGATATTCGAAGGGAGTGAGAATAATTTCATCATCATTATCACTCATAGTGGTCAGAAATGGGTCGACGAAAACAAAGGAAAATTAAGTAAGAACCTTGGATATTATCCGATTATTCCGATTTTCCTTTTGAAGATCCTCCTGAAGATGATGATGTTATTATTCATCAAAGAAAAAGATCACAAAGTCTTAGACGTATGACTGATGCACTTTCGTTTTTAAATCGCAAGGAAATTAAACTCCAGGTCCTTAGTTCGTTCCAGATGGCCGAGAACAAAGTAGCAAAAGTCGTTTACTTTGTACCAGTAGCTGGGTCAGCATACCAGCTGATTTCTTCTGGTTATTACTATAAAATGGGAAAATCAAATTTAGCAAAAGAACGATTAAAGAAGGGAGTTTACGGAGCTATTCTGCATCTTGCGTAAAGTATTAGTTAACAGTGTGGAAGATGGATATTTCATATAGGTTCAATTATTTTTTTTTTGAAAATGATGCACAATGCTATGTATATTCAGTTGTTAGGTTAAATAAAAGTTTATGCTTTATTCATACTGTATCAGTTGTTAAATATTCCCGAAAAAAAGTAAAACAAATGTAGTCGGTCACCTAAAATCGAGCAGTCTTTGAAGAAGACGGTACAGACCAGATTTATTCTTTCTAAAGCACTCCTTCGATTGAGCGGTAAACAACTAACATTCTTCAAGGTTACTAACGCCCGTGATAAAAAAAATTGACGATTAATTATTAATCACATAAATTTTTCGTTAATGCTCTTCTCACTCTAAATGAAATCAAACAATCAATAATATTCACTTTAAAACACTTCTTTATCCAAAAAAATAAAAAAACTAAAGAATAAATTTTTACGAAATAATGAAAAAGGAACGAAAATTGTACTTAATATTTAAAAAATTTCTAAAAATGGTTATATTTCTCGGCATGGTTTCTTAATGCCTTAAAGCCTGCAAAATTTACATGTTTAAAAATGGATATAGATAAAGTATATAAGCTACCGAATTACTTGGTTGGAGAGATATAATAGATATGTTATGGATCAATAACTGTTGTTCTTATTACATAATGGCGGAAAGATGATTTTATTTATTTGACGACTAAAATAAATGTTTACATTATTAATAATCTATTAAGAGGCATCAAAATGGTTAGATACCTGTAATTCAGATGTCATTCGCAAATTAAAAGAAAAAAAATTATAAACAAATAAGTGCTGATTGATATATGAATATTTAAAGTAAATCCATCGTAATGATTCTTTCATTATGAAACTTATGTTTATAATGATATAATATTATCAGTTGACCAAATTATTAAGATCATAATAGTATAAAAATTCGCCTATATTTCGATGTTTGTTTATTTATACGTTACTAGACGATTATTTAATCGAAGTAGCGGCTGAAGTGAATGAACTGCCTAAAAAGAACAATTAATAAAGAGCAACGCCCAACCTATTATATAATGAATAACAATCATAATAAACGCTGCGACGAAGCGATACTATTTTAGTTTGTGTGTGAAAACAAATTATGTCGATCGGTAATTACTATTCACTAAAACAAAAAAAATTCAAACCTTAATTTTGCAAGGTAAAAGATAGCATCTCGATTTCCAATCTCAAAATATGTTAGTTTTCTTTTTTTTTGTTTTTCGTGTGAAATGTTGAGAGAACTGTAACTAAATCGGTCAAACAATGTGTATATATTTGTAAACAATGACAAAAATATTTTTTTTTTACTTAAAAAAAAATCTTCTAACTCTAAATTAAGACATTCAAAGAAATAGAAAGTTGAGAATCGCTCGCTCATCCGCGATCAAACTTTCAGGAAACGCCTTTGGCCGATTTTTTATATCATCTTGAAGAAATTTGTTGATTATGAGTAAACTAACTAGTATAATCCTTGCGAACTATCTGGACATGTAAAGTCATCAATTGCTAATATGTTGATTCATGGTGACATTTGTCATAAAGGCAGTGCGTTCTTAGTTCATAATTCGCCTTATGGTGCGAGTTATACGCTAAATTTTAATGAAAATGATGATTTCATGGCATACGATACGATTGGAGTAAGTGTTCCGCATTTTTGAGGCTGTTAAAAGGATAAGAATTAATTTACTACTTGTCAGGTTCCGATAAACAATATAGCTTACGTTGCAAGGGGAAATTTTCGCGAAAATGACCTTGAAATGTTCAATTCATTTAAAAAGATCTTTGAGGGAAGCGAACAACTTTCATTGATATTATTACTCATAGTAAACAGAGATGGATCGATAAATTCATAAACGAATTAAGGAAACTTTTTTCATCATAATGAAGAAGATGATGATGATGATAAAAGAGCACAAAGTCTTCAAAATTTGACTGATAAACTTTCGTTTTTAAAATACGAGGTATTAAACTTCAGGTACTCTAGCGATTGAGAAAATCATTGACATGATACTAATTGTTGGACCGGTGTACTGTACCGGCTGATTTCTTCAGGTGTTTACTATGGGATTGGAAAGCAAAATTTGGCAAAAGAACGACTTAGGAATGTATTTTATGTGAAATGAGTATTGTATAAGAAGTTAAAATGGTTCATTTTATTTGTTTATAAAAAATATGTAATTTTTTTTCCCTGCTGATATTACTAAATTTAATAAAAATTTTTATGTATGTAAAATACTTATATGCGTCATCAGTTATGTATAGTCTACTAATCAATTTATTAATTGAAGATTTTTGTGCAGCATTTATTTATTAATGATTTTTGGCGATGATGCTGACTTAAACTTTATTCAAATATAAATAATTCTCTTAGAAGTTTCAATCTTATCAAACAAATATTTTAAAACCTTCTCATTCATTGACTAAAAAACGCAACATTATGTAAACGTTTGGGATAAAATGATTTAAGATAAATAGGTGAAATTAGAGCGTATAGAGTTTAAAGTTAACGTATTTAAAGTATGTAATGATAAGCAAACCTTAAGCGAATGCTATTTATTATTTGTCTTCAGTAATAAAATTTACTAGTAGACTAAACATGATATTGATAATCATAGTCCAACGCATCATGAATAAAAGGGCAACGAATGAAAAAAAGCTTTTACGATAAATAGAGCACTTTAAACAAAAGTTCGCTCGCCTAAACACGGCAGTCTTTACTGAAACTTATCAATTTGAAAAAATATAGTAAAAATATTTTTAACATATATCAGGTTTATGCCAAATGTATTTATGTTAAGTTTATTATAACTATATTTTTTCCATATACCAAAAATATGTTAAAAACATACCAAATTC